AAATTTATAGCAGTGAATTGTCTCATCAGGACCACAGAATGAGCTAAAATAAAGAAAATGTTGAGCCTCAAACTACTAGTAAAGGAAAAACAAATCAAACACAAAGTTTATACAAGAAAAGAAATTACATAGACCAAAGCTGAAATTATTGAAATTGAGAATAAGGAAACAATACAAAGAGTTGATGAATTGAACAGTTGGTTCTTTGAACAATTAAATAAAATTGATAAACTTCTAGTCAACCTCATCAAAAAGAGGAAATAAAAAATTTAAATTTAAGGAATAAGGAATGAAACACACACAGGAATAAAATCACAATGAATCCTGTGGAAATCCAGAAGATTGTCAATACCTACTTCAAGAACCTATATTATGACAAGATGGAAAACACAAGAACTGAACAGATTCCTAGGCCCATGCAAATTACCAAAACCAAATTAAGAAGACATAAAAATTTTAGTAACCTGATTTTAGTCAATGAAAATGGAAATGTAATTAAAAAACTACCACCATAGAAAAGCTCAGGCCTTGATTAAATTCACTGCTGAATTCTACAAGGAATTTAGACATTTATTGCCATCAATGCCGAAACTATATAATGAAATTGAAAATGAAGCAATATTTCCAAAATCAGTCCTGGAATTAGGTATTATTCTAATACCTAAATGAGAGAAGTACCCAACCAAAAAAGAGAACTACAGGTCAATATCCCTAATATAACATGGTTGCAAAAATCCTTAATAAGATACTGCCAAACAGAACGCAGCAAATCATAAATTATATATCATAACCATATAGAATTCACCCCAGGGATGCAAGAATGGGTAAACATACACAAATCAATAACTGTACTAGCCATATTAATAGAAATAAACACAAAAATCATGTGATCAACCCAATAGACTCAGTTAAAGCATTTGACAATACTCACTTATATAAAAATTCTACAGTAAGTAGGAATAGATGGCCTTAACCTCAATCTGATAAAAACCATCCATGACAGTCCAACAGGCAGCATCATAGTAAACAGATAAAACTGAAAGCTTTCACACTCTAAAGTCATGAATAAGGTAAAATGTCCATAATCATCACTCTTTTTCAATAGAGTGCAATACAGTTCTGGAGACACTAGCCATAGTGATTAGAAAAGAGAAACAAAATAGAAGGAATAAGGTTAAAGATGAAGTTAAATTATTATTATTTGCAGATGACATGATACCCAACATAGAAAATCTCAAAAATTCCACCAAATTTTTATATATTTAATAACCAAATTCCATAGTGTAGCTGGATACAAAATCAACACTCAAAAAATCAATAGCATTCCTGTACACAAACAAGAGTCACGGAGAGAAAATCAGTGAAACCACACCCTTCACAATAGAATTGAAATAAAATGAAATACTTAGGAATCAATCTAACAAAGGAAGTAAAAGAGCCATACACTGAAAATTACAGTACTCTGAAAAGGAGAAAAAAAGATAATATCAGAAAATGAAAAGATATTCTTTGTTCATAGATAAAAAGAACCAACAATGAAAATGGTCATACACTCAAAATTGTTATACAGATTTAATGCAATCACCAATTGAAATACTATTAACATACCTCACAGAACAAGCAAAAGTATTTCCAAAATTCGTTTGGAACAAAATAATTCTCAGCAACAAAGGCGAGGCACAGGGGATTAAAATAAATGACTTGAAAATATATTGTAAAGCTACTGTGATAAAATATCCTGGCACAGGTAAAAACAAAACAAACAAAAAAACTGGACCTGAGAGTCCATGGAACAGCTTACAAGATAAATCACAACTTCAAATGCACTTACCCACATTATATTTCACAAAGGAGCCAAACATGTTTACTGGAAGGAAGATAGTCTCTTTAATAAATGGTACTGGAATAACTGGCTTTCCACTTGGCAAAGACTAAAACTAGATCCATGCCTATCACCACACACTAAGTTAAAATCAAAATGGATCAAGAATCTAAATACACAAACAGACACACTAAATCTGCTAAAAGAGAGAATAGCTAGAAACGTTGAACATATAGATGTAGGCAAAGATTTCATGAACAAAACTGATTGCACAGAAAAAAAACACAAAGAACCAATAACTAGTATCTCATCCTATGAAGAAACTTTTGCACAACAAAAGAAATCACCAATGGAGTGAAAAGGCACCCCACAAAGTGGGGAAAAGTTTTAACCAGTTGTCCTTCAAACAAAAGACTCATCTAGAACATACAAAAAACTGAAAAAAAAATCAGCTCTCCCAAATTTAAAGACCCAATCCAAAAATGAACATCTAAGATAGATACATACTTTACAGATGAAGAAATACAAATGGCAAATAAAAATATGAAAAAATATTCAACATCAGTGGTTATTAGATATACGCAAATTACAACAATGCTTAGATTCCATCTCACTGCAGAAAGAATGGCTGCCATATCCGGAGGATTAGCTCAGTAGCACAAGCACCTGCCTAGCAAAGACAAGGTTTGAGTTTGATCCCTGGTACCAGAAAAAAAAGGATGACTACCATCAAGATATCAACCAATAACAAATGTTTCAGTGACTGTGCTGAAAAAGGAACTCTACTATTAATGGAAGGGTTGACTGGCTCAACCACAATGCAAATCAGTATGAAAATTCCTTAAAATTTAGGATTAGAGGTACCATTTGACCCAGCTACTCCTCTTGTGTGGCTCTTCCCAGAAGAATTTAAAACACCATACTATAGTATATATGCACATTCCTATTTATAGGAGCATAATTTTAATAGCTAAATCTTGAAAAAAATCCAAATATCCATCAACCAAGGAATGGATAAAGATTTTTTTATATAATGAAGTATTACTCTATCATAAAGAATGATAAATTTGAGGCATTTATAGGGAAATAGATGAAACTTGAAACCACACTCTTAAGTGAAATAATTTATATTCACAAGTATAAGCATCACTTTGTCTCTCTAGTGTAAGAACTAAAAAAGTAAATATGGAGCAATATGTATAATAGGTATTGTGAGATGGGAAGAAATTGTTCAAAAGGAAAGAGGAACTAAGGTGAGGTAGGTGTCGTAGATTAAGAACTGGTGGTCAACTTAATGCCAGCTGGATTACATCAGCATGGCACTGAGCATAGAAGCTCCACCTGAGGAAAGTTGCCAGCATAAATAAAGAGGTGGAGAAGGAGAAAGAGAGCATTAAGGCATCAATGTGTTGAGGCATTCATGCCTTGTGGGTTCTCCTATGAGTTGCTGTTTGAGCTCTTGGTTCTCCTGGAGAAGCTGTGGTCCTCACATATAGCACTGCTTCCTGGCTCCAGAGGGGAAGACACGTGTTGCTTGGTCTCCAGGATGAACTTGTCACACTGGCTTCCTGGTATGCACTCAACTGTGTTTGTCATCAGAGGAGCTCGGGGCCTCTATGTCACTGAGAATGGCTGTGGTGGTTTCAGAACAGCCCTGGTCTTTGTTGTGAGTGTGACTTCTCGGTTCCAGAATAGAACCCTCATCCCACCAGCACAGCTCCTTCACCCCGCTGGCATGGACTTTCTGGCTTCCACCGCTGATCTTGGGCCTTCCCAGCATGGATCCATTAAAGAGACTGGTATGAATCCTTGTGGGCTCTGGACCTCCAGTTAGACTCATGGGAGGCATTGTCATGAGCTGTGGGTTTTCATCTGGACCCATGTGGTACATTGCTGTGGGATTTAGGCCCTTGATATTCTATGTCTTTGGTGATACAGATAGATTTCCTGCATTTTCTTGTGTTAACTCCCAGTGACCATTATAAAAATAATATAAACTCCATGTCCTAATTCTAATTGTTCTCTGCACACCCCCTAACTACAACAGAAGAGGAAAAGGAAGGAAGGGAAAAGGAAAAAACTATTTTTTTAAAATCGGTACCAGGGATCAAACTCACGACCACACAGTTGCAAGGCAGGCACTTATGCACTGAGCTAAATCCCCAGCCCCAGAAAAAATGATTTAAAAAATCTAAACAATGCTATGTATATAGTGAGGGGAAGATGAGTTGAAGGGAGAAGACAGTATTATAAAAAATAGAGGGTTCAAAATACATCATGTAAGGGTACCAATTACCTATGATGAATATGATCATTGTATGTATTTAAAATGTACCAATAAACTTAATTAAAAAAGAAAGTAAAATTTATTGAACATAGTCACTTTAAGTATCCAGCATCATATGGTGAGTAAAGAATATGGTATTTGCACACAATGAAGTATTGTCATAAAGAAGAATAAATGAGTCATTTGTAAGAAAATGAATGTAACTTGAGATCATAATTTTAAGTAAAATAAATCAGACACAACACCTTAAATATGTATGATTTATCTTAAATGATAATATAAATAATATTATCACAATATAAATAAGGAGCAAAATAAAAGAAATATAATAGGAAATAAAGAGATAGATAATGGGAAATGAGGAAAAAGGAAGGGGACCAAGAAATAGAGAGAGAGGAAAAGAGGGGGGAAAAAGTGAGAAAAAAATTATGATGTATTATATACATGTACTAACTCCTCACAAGTAATAAAATTATGTGTGTGTATATATATATATATATATATGCACATAAATCCTTGTCCTCTTATTATCTTTCTGCCTTTGTTAGTGTCTCCTTTTATATGTGTATTAACTTTCCCAATGCTGCCTTTGATATATGGATTTTAATTTCATTTTACCTAGAAATAAATTAAGGTAGGGATAAGCAGAGAGAATTTCCAGTGTAAATATCACAATCATGGCCTGTAATCTATTGATATGTAACATACATTAACCATCCCACATTTGTGCAACCTAATTTTCTGATGACACTTCATTTTATTGTCTCTGAATATTTCTTTCATGTCTCAGAGTTATTTTTATTTATTTGTTTGTTTGTTTCTTCAATATATTTCTCCTTTTGTATTTCACCTTTAAGTGTGTTTATTTAACAAGTGAATTTTATTGTATACCTGGTCTTGATCAGGTTGAGGAGGCCTCCTATCATCACCAAAAGCACGTGCAGAACGGTGCTGAGGTTGATAGTCTGAAGAAATCCTCTGTTCTCTGCTACATTAAAAAGCCACAGTGCAGTTAGTATAGGGTATTCATTTAATTAGTTTTAAATAACTTTTTAGAAACTATTTTTACAATATGAAATGAGTGCTTCCACTTTAAACTATACCCAAGAGAAAGCAATATTTGCTATCATTTATTGAATGTTTTTCATGTTAAAGACACTTTAATTAACAGTATCTGATTTTACCTAATATTTTAGTCTAAACATTCAAGCAATGTTAAAAGAATTTTATACTAAATGTGCATATATCTCTTACAATGATTCCACCATAACATTTTACTATATATATTTTAACATATATCTACCCATGTATTCATCTCATTATCCATTCGTTGTTCCTTATTTTTTATTCAATTGGAAGTAAATTGAGGGGCCAGGGATATAGCTCAGTGGTGTAGCACCTGCCTGGCAAATCCAAGGTCCTGAGTTCAATTCCCAGTATTCCCTCCTCCAAAAGAAAGTAAACTGAATACATATTGATATCCTATGTGAAGAACTATAAAAAGCTTTTGAACTAATTATTTTTAGCTGTACTTTGCAGGTGTGAAACCTAAGGCTTAGAAATTTTAAGGAAATTTCCATAGGCCACAGTAATATATGGAGCAGGGATTTGAGCTTTACTCTGTCTAGTTTGATGGCCCTTACTTTTCCCACTACACCAAAGAATTTCTCACGGTATATTAAGACTGTGATAAATTTTGTTGTTGTGACTACCTATTGGATTCCTCTTTCCATTTCTCTGACATCATTGCTGGGACTAGGGAGTAGATAAAAGGTACTGACAGAGCAGCCTCTCTTTCTCCAGTTCCACACTATTAGGATAATATGTATAGAGCACACAAATACTGCCTTAGTGGAAAGAAAGTGAAACAGGACCATTATTTTGTGAAGTATATGTGCTTTTTATCTGAGGGAGGGGCTCTCTAGTTTTTGCTCTCACCAAAACCTGAAAAAATATTTCTCATTTGGCAGTATTATTGGGCCCTCTTTAAAAATTTAATTAAAATGTTGGCTACTATGAAAAATAAAACATCAGTTTGGCCCATGACAAACACTATTTCCTGATTCATTTGCTGATCTCATGAGATTATTCATTAATTCTTGGTGGTATTTACAAATTTCTTACCAGTGATCATCTGTGTACTCCTTTGACTTTTTACAGTAGCGGATCATCTGGATTGTTACACCCAATATTAAAGCCAATCCTACTCCAGGCAATGTTGCTACTAAAATCAGGTCCAGTGTACTCCAGAGTTGGTCACATTTGGCTCCCATGTACCAGTAGTTTCCCCACTGGCCTCTAAAATATGGACATCTAGACAGAGATAACAGAAAAACAAGAGCTCACAAATTAGAAAATAAACAGATCGTCTAATCTGGGTCAATCAAGCATTTCACTGTTACTCACACACAATGTTTCTATTTAGAAAGGACATATAAAATATTTCTACTAGGGTTTGGTGAGAGCAAAAACTGGGAAGTCCTTCCATTGGATAGAAAGCACACATACTACACAAAATAATTGTACTAAAGATAATTCTGTTGTCCTCTTTCCACTTCAGCAAGAATTCTAAACTTACAATCTTGAATATTTTCAATCAGCATGCAGAAAACTATTAGGGTTTTCCAACCACTAGCAAACAAAGATATGAACATACAAATAAAAAAGAAAAATTCACATGAAATTGCTGTCTTGGGGCTAGGGATTTAGCTCAGTGGCATAAGCACCTGCCTTGCAAGCAGGCAGTCGTGAGTCTGGTCCCTGGTACTGATAAAAACGAAAAAGACCAAAAAAAGAAAAAGAAATTGCTGTCTCAGGATTACTTGCAAAACTGTCCACTTTGCCCAATGATCATACCTGTATTCATATTGCCTACTCTAATTATGTAAATGTTATGAAAAATTTGGAAGAGATTGGTTACCAGTTTTGTAATTGCAAGTTATGCACTCCTCACTCTATGCCCTGCAGAGATTAATATCTTAACAGGCTCTGCAACTCTACATTAAATGCAAGAAAAAACTTGAGAAGGTCAGAATAGATTGTCTACCAGCAAAATATGCCTACCTTCATCTTTCCCATAATTCTTGATTTTCCCCTTTTATTTTATAAAAATAAATGACTCACATATAAACTTTTATTATGTTTATAAAGCTTTGAGACTCTACAAAATAATGTTAATAAGATTGTGTGGTGTATCTATGGCCAATGTGCCCAATCTCATCTGACTGTGCGATGCATAGACTGAAACTATGATGTACACCCACATAGAAGTATCTATTAGTTTGGGAATAGGAAGAATGTGAACTTCCCCTCATCCCCTATGAGAGTGACTAGTCTAGGGATTTGTTTTAGAGATTGTCATATTGTGCCTTGCAGAAGCAATATAGGATTATCCAGCTGAACAGTAAATATCAGAATATAAAGAACGTGTGCCTGGTTTATATGGCTGCAATATTTAATTACTACTTCCATGGCTGACATGAAGGAAATGATTAGATGACTACTATGGTCTTTCATATTCCTGATAGTCTTTGATTCTCTAAGAAAAATGCATCTAACAGCTTGTTATAAGTAGTATGCTACTTAATACAATGCAGATTTCACTACGTAGTACCTGCTTATTCATTTATGGAGGTCAAAATATTTTAAAATACATTTTATCAATCCTCATGAATTTCTTCTTGGAAAAAGACCTTGACAATATATTTCTTATTTATCCTAGAAATTAATAAGAAAGCAATCATCTGCTAAACCATAACATTTCATGCCTTCAACATTCAATTACTATGTGCTAAATAATGTTCCAAGCATTTGAGATATACTAAAAAATAAAGCAGAGATTGACATCTTCAATTAACTTACAATGCAGAAAAGGAAGGCAGGCAACAAAAATAAGCATAATTAGTAAATTATCTATAATGTTTAAATTTGACAAGTGCTTTAAAAATAGTATAAAGAGAAATGGCAATAGGGACAACATAGATATGGTTCAGGTTATACTGTTATAACTGAGTAGTAAAGAGAAGATGTGATTGTAAAGGTAACATGAACAAAGAATATGACACAGGTGAGAGTTAACTACAGGATAATTTGGTAAAATAGCATTCTAAGCATAGGGAACAGCAAGAACAAAGGATATGAAGCAGGAAGTGTTGTGCCTGTATGCCTGAGAATTCAAGAAAATCAATTTAGCTGGAGCATAGTAAGTTAGGAGAGTATGGGGGACATAAAGTGAAAGAGTTAGGACAACTCTTATAGGCCATTGTATACATTTTGGCTTTAACAGTGAATGAAAAGGATGAACAAATACATGGTTTTGAAGAGTGGTGACATGATTGATGTAGTTCTAACAGGATCACTTCCTATGCTTTCATCCATTTTATATTACTTGCATATAATTTAAGAGTTCAATTGCATTATGCATATAGATTTCTAGTATTTTCAACCATTTTTAATGAATTCAATCTCCTGCCATGTACTCCTGGTCCCTTTAATGGAAGTAAATTGACAAAAATTACATATTCATTTATGGGCTCTCCATTCTGTTCCACTGACATAGATTTTTTTTTCTGTCAGTACCAAGCTATTTTAATTGCTACATCTTTTTGTATATTTGAAAATCAAGCAGTGTTGTGTCTTCAGTTTTGTATGTTTTGTCCATTTTTTTTTTTTTGGTTATTTAAAGTCCTTTGGGGTTTAATCTCACTTTGGGGACTTTTTTCTATTTCACTGAAAAGTGTCATAGAAATTTTGTATTAAAAAAAAGTGTAGCGAAAAAAAGAAGTAGAGAGCTATGTCACAAAGCATCCAGTAATCTACACAAATGGTATTGATAACTTGAATCAGAATTTACCAGTGACAGAGAGGATGAGGAGTGGTTATTTCTGTTTGTCTTTTTAAGACAGAATCAACAGAATTTTCTGATGAATGGTAAGTTGATGTGCCAGAAAAAGAGGACTGAAAGATGATTTCAAAGGTTCTCTATCTTATACAAATTGAATAATGGAATTGTAGGAAAGATTGTAAAAACAAGTCTGGGAAGTGGTCATGGAAGCTGAAGTGTTTTTGTATTTACTAATGCTGAAGTAGATATTATACACCCAGGTGAAGATGGTGAATAGGAAGTTATAGTTCTATCTTTGGAAAAAAGTGTTTTCTCAGCTACGATGGTACATAATGTTATAAGACTAGATAGGTCACCAGGAAAAGAGCATAGATAAAGACCAAAGACCAAGCCCTGCGACATATCCATTAAGTAGTTGATGAGAGAAGAAACTAACAAAGGAAACTGAGAAATAGATAGTGAAGTACAACGAAAAAACATACAAGGCTGTTCTGAAAGGCGAGTAAAAATTCAGGGCATAAATTCATTTAACTGTGTTAAATGCTGCTGATGAGTTCAATAAAATGAGAACCAAGATTGAGCTTATCAGCATGGAGCCTAGGAAGAAGAAATGAACTCATTTTTAGAGCACATTCTGAATAAGTTTTTTGAATTTTAAATAGTTTTTGTACTTCTAATAGCAATTTTGGAAAGTTTATAAAATTATTTATTTTCAATCAGTATAAGGCCTCAATACAAAAACACCTGTATTTATTTTAAAATTGACTGATAAAATTATATGTACTTAATCATATACAGTATGTTTTCAGATATCTATTGTAGAATCAATAATTTTTGGTCATTAACATATTCATGTCTGGTGTCATGGTATCAATTGCAGCTGAGTTAATTACAAATACAGGCAACTGACTTCCGAGAGAACATGGCAGACAGATAGCAGCAGCTACCGAGGCTCTATGAGAGACCCAGCTTAGAATCCAGGAATGGTGTGGAGTGAGGAATACTAAGCAAAAGGAGATGTACCCTGCTGGGCTGAGAGAAACCAACTGGGAATGCAATCCTGGTGCTATAACAGGAACAGATAAAGCCTCAGTGTGGTAGTTGGAGCCTGTGCAATTGGAAGATGCAATTTGGGTTTCCTGCTGCTGCTACTGTGTCTGAATCGGCTTGGCAGGGAGAGAGACACACGAAAGCTCTGAGAACGGGAATCTGTGAACGGGGTTGAGAGCAGGACAGGCGGGGAGCTGTGCATCGACCTACGGTGAGTGAGGGAAACTGGGACTCTTCCATGGTCTAGGAGGCTCCAACAGAGGACATTCTGGGACCAGGCAGACTTGCTGGAACAGGGCGCTGTAGTGACCTCAGTCACATATCTCCCTCTCAAGCCGGATTGGTGAGCAGTGCCTAGCCTACATGATGCTGCTGGCTGAGACCCAGTAGGCTAGCACAACCCAGGTCCCAGTGCCTGGAGGTGCACCCTAGCAGTGAAGCCTTCGGTAGGTTTACCTGGAGGGGCAGGCCCCGCATAGGCTGCCTGGTCCATAACTCCCTGGTGCACTGCAGTGCAGGGGAGCACCTAACCGGTGCAATTCAAACAGACTGTGGCCAACAGGGAAGGAAGCTGGGCCTTCTATATACACTTGTATTTAAGGAACAAAGAATATGGGAAGAGGGAGCAACAAGAAAGGCTCCTCGGCCCCCAATCCTGAGAAACAGGCAATAGCAGACACAGCACCAATAGACATAAAGCGCTATCTCCAGAGCCTCATAGACGAATTCAGGAATGAAGTTATTAATGACCTGATGCAAGACATAAGCAGAATAGTTACAGAAATGCTAAGAACTACCCAAGAAAAAACAGATGGTGGAATGGACTAACAGGAAAAAATAGGCAGAATTGTTTGATGGAGAAAATAGAGAAAACATAGAATACAGGAAGTAGGTTCAAAGAGATTACCAGGAAACTAAAAACTATCAAAAACTGGCATAACAGCTTGAAAGAAACTAAGGATAGATTATCTGAACTGGAGGGCAGATTTGTAATATGGGAGCATGAAATGAAAAACTTCTTAAAAATAACAAAGAAACAAACAGCAATAATACAAAGACTAGAAGATGATAAGATGATCTATTACTTAAGAATAAAGAACATAAAAGAAGAGGTAGGGACACAAACAAATGAACTACAAAAGCTACTTGCAGAAATAATGCAGGAGAATTTTCCTAATTTAGCAAAAGGTAAAGATACTCAGATGTATGAAGCATACAGGACCCCAGCCACCTACAACCCAAACAGAGCTACACCCAGGCATATAATAATAAAAATACCAGAAATCCAATATAAGAACTGAATGTTAAAAGCTGTCAGAGACAAGAAACAGATCACTTACAAGGAAATACCCATCAGAATTACAGCAGATTTCTCAGCACAAACCATCAAATCACAAAGAGCGTGGGGGGAAATAATTCA